TTTTTTTATCGGGCCAAGTCACAAGCAGTGACTACGCAGTGGAATGTTGAAACATATTGAAACATCTGTTCCGAAATCTTGGCGCTCGAGTTTTTCAATCAAAAGGCAGGGCACCCCTGTCAGGAGGGGTAAACGAAACTCATGGAAAGTCGTGAGAATTTGTGCTGTATTTTGTTGCCAGAAGCCTTAATTATTGGCCAGAACAGTGTTTAACTTTTAACTGGGTAGATGTCCAACATGCTTGAAGTTCACAGTAGTAGTACGAGAGGTACCTGCAATTCCCCTACCTGCAGGATTCTCCGACCGCAATGCCTGGAAAGGCGGCCTGGGAGTACGCCTCCCAGGGTCACCTACCATCCACTCTGCATGCCATGCACAATGATACATCTGGTTGAACAGCTAAATCGTGACAGCAAGCGCTCAATTTCAGTCCTCACCCGGGAAGGCCGGGGGTGCAGAATGCTCCCTGGCGCACAGGGCTTCAGCGCTGGGAAGTGGGTCGCCAGGGCAGAAAGCGCTGCAGTGGAAGACGTGCAGGGTAAGCTATTGGACAACATTGAGAAACACCCGGTCTAGATTCTGTCCCGATTTGATCGAATCGTACCATCATGTTGTGGAGGGGCCATCTTGACTTGAGCCAACACCTGATGTTTGGGGTGTTTCTGCTTCTCCTTCTTGGTACCCTGACCTCAAGCTCGCAAACACGGTGTCATGACATTCAACGAAACCCCTACGATCTTTCGCTGCTTGGAGCGCCATGCTGCCGCCAGGAGACCCTTGCAGCGCCCAGAGACGCCGTACGGGGCTGGCCACCTCGACATCCTCGGCGAACGCCCGAGCGAACGCCCGAGCGAATCCCGGCTTCTCGGTGTCCAGGTCGGTCTGTGCTCGGTTCTTTGTTCGTAGCACCAAACGGGAACGCAATTCGCCCAGCTGGCCCGTTTGGCTCGTGGAAAAAAAATAACATAATTCATATATGGTCCAAGTCCATGTGATGTATTTAAAAAAAAAAAACAAAAAAACTATACATTTTGTATGACCACTTTAAACTCTTTATCGTTTTTCAATGTTTGGAACGCAGTATACAGTCTCTTGTCGTTTCCCAGCGAACCACACATGTCCCTGCCTCCACTGAAAAAAAGTCGGTGTCTGTTATGTGTGTGCGCGCGTGCATGTTTTCAATGAAAACTTGACTTTTCAAAATTTCCTTCAAACAGACTCCAACCTGTTGGTATTCCAACCTGTTCGGACCACGGCCGCACATCGATGCCTCGGTGCCTCGGATCATCCCCCTGTTCGGATCGTATCCGCCCCAAAAGCAGCCCTAAATCCGGGCACCGGTAAGGCCCGGATTTCCACCTCCAGGGGCACCAGGCAGAACAGGTTGGAATACCGACGGATGATCCGACCCCGGGACGAAGTCACGAGACGCCACGAACCCTCCCACCGTTGGAAGAGACACAGAGACAGGGGGAGAGGAGAAAAAGTGCACCAAAAGTAGCTAGTTAATGTTTAATTCTAAGTGATTTTCCTGGTCAAATTCCTTCAGTTCCTGGCTTTCCTTGATGTTTGGAGTCTGTTTGAAGGAAATGTTGAAAAGTTTTGAATTTGTACATGTGGGACATGGTCTTCCCGAGGACTTTTTCGTGTATTCTTGTTATCGTTTTTGTTATCGTTTTGGAACCCCCAACGCTTCACCCATTTTGGTGGCCTAACGGATTCAAACACTTAATACAACATATTCTCAAGAATGATTCACATGGGTGCTGTTGACTTGTCGGCCTAACATCCACTGAATTAGAATCCATGCATGTACATGCAACTATACTTACCCATATGGATCAGCAAATGTCTACCCATGTCCCAGCGATGCTCAAGGAGCCAAAAAGAAATCACTCCTGAATGCTTGTATTACACGAAAACCTTGACATGAAACACTCTTGTTTTAAAAAATGCACCTGAATCAATAACTGGATTTGACAGCTATTTGCTTCAAGAACTGAAGGCATTTGAATTTCCAATGCTTCTATTCTCATGTACTGTATTGCATGTATTACATGAGTGTTATCGTTTTTGTTTTAACTCTTTATCGTTTTACAATGAATCAGCCCTGGTTTGCTAAAACGGGACCACTGCTTACATTTCTCCTAGGTCCCGTTTTTTTTTTTAAACATCATGTGTTGAATCATGTTCAAACGATCGGTCATCTTAAACTTAGTCTTTTGCTAGCTATTGCCGGTCTCCAGTCTGGATTTGAGATGTTCCGAAGACTTCAGAACTGCAACACTTCAGAGTCTCAACGTGTCCACACCGGTTCACACCAGGCAACATTCAGGAGTTTGTCGATGCAAACTCTAAAAAAAATGTGTCAATCCATTCAACAGAAGCAGGTGTAGTGCAAGTGTCTAACTCCACGTCGTTCTCTTCTGTGCTCTTCTGTAGGTCGCGTCTTGCCCTTTCTGTGAATTCTCTCATGGCGAAGTTCACCGAAGGCCTCAACCACTAAGACCTGCAGGGTGAGTTGCTGGCCTCATGTGAGCCATGTCCAAAAACTCGCAGAAAACCAGGTACTACCACCGAGCCATCGTGGGGAGAGACACTCGCACCGATCCAGTCGTGTGCTCAGGGTCTCCGCAGCGAACCTGGGGCCCCCCACTGGAACGCTGCACTCGCTGCAATCGAGCCTCGCTGGCGCTTGCGCCAGACTGGAGTCACGTCATGTCATCTCCACCGGCTGGGGCGGGAATGGTGGTCATAGTCATTGATCCATCGCGGCTTTTTGATCCCTCCGGCTGACATTGATGTCCGAGTCAATACCAAAGATCAATAAGGAATGATACGTTAAAGATCGGCCATGGAAAAGCACACACCTCATCTGCAAAATGGCTCAACTTGTCTGCCTCATGCGAAAGGTTCGCAAATGGATCACCAATTGAATCCTACTTCCGAAAAAAACCCTTCTCATCGGAAAGCACCTCACCAGTCAGGGCCACTCTGGCCATCCCTGCCACAACCATCCACAGCATCATTTTCGGCTCTCCACAGCATCTCGGCTCTACCAGAAACCACCGGTGTGGTGCAGAAAAAAGAAGACCTCATCACCTGGGCGTCCCAAACTCTGCTTGGAGCTCCTCCACCTTCTCGCGAAGTTGCGCCAAGTCTGCCTCCTAGAAAATGCGCAGAAAGTCAGCAAAGTCAAGCAAAAATCGGTTGAAAACTATAGTCATTTCTTAGTTCTTAGGTACAGGCCCCTAACAGAGGGGAAGCTTCATGTGTTCCTTTAAATCTGAAGCGCTAGTTGAATCCTAGAATCGATGTCTTTCTTCCTCCAGGCCTTTCTCTTCTCAACCTAGACCTACTCTCAACCCTATAGCCAAACTTTCGTAAACACCGTTTGAGGTACATTTATCATGGAGGGGACTCATTGACAAATGGTGATCCACAACTATTTAAGAACGCACCGCAAGCGAATTTGATAGCAGTTGCCATATTCAACATGGTACCTCGATGCTTGTTCAAAGATTGCACATCGCCGTTCTCACGCATGAACCACTACACGAAAGTCTTGTTCCCTTACCTATCACATGAGACAGGACTTCACATCCACTGTGTCCGATCTCGGCAAGTTCAGCCTACAAAAGCATACAAAAAAGCATAAAGAAGCGGTCTCTCTTAAGAGGGATCCCAAGTCGTATTAATCCCCCTGACTCCCGTTGGCATCTGGGATGACTCCCCTGATCATGACCTGGCGAACGAACGCCAAGTGGCCCGAGACGTGTCTGTCCGAGGTATGTCTTCAGCTGGACAGATCACATGGCGATTCCCCGAGCTCAGTGTGTTGTGAACTCGACTCGGAGAACATCCACCCGGAGTGAACCGGCAAAGGCCGGCGCCTCGTGGGCTTCAACAGGCCACGTCGGTGAAAGGGAAGGTACTTCAGGAGGACAAATCTGTTGACAACTTGTCCTTCCGCGGGTGCAATTCCAGCGAAGGAGTTTCCACCCCAAACGGAACTATTATATATATATATAATAGTACAAAAATAATATTAAAACAAATACGTACTTTGGGGTGGAAGCTCCTTCCCCCGAATTTACCTCGGGGTGGAAACTCCTGCGCCGAAATTCCACTCTTCCTCTAAAGGTATAAAGGGAAAGGGTTGCAGGTCATGTCATCACAGGATTGTTACCAACTCTTATCCTTATCTGTGTAGTCAAACCGGTAGGGGGACATGCAAGCTTGACTTCGGGGGGCTGTGCTTTCAAGAGCATAGAAAATGCATTGCCCAAAGCTACTGAGATGTGACAAGTTCATGCCACCCCCCCCGCAGGCTCATGAGCATCCACTAGCTGCTGAAGCAAACGATGAAAGGATGCCATGGCGTTGTTCAAAACTGGCTGTGTGCTCCTGCGTCAGCTGGACGGATGCTTCTTGTACTTACGTAGGCTGTACTGCCGTCATCTGTGAAACTTTGAACATTCTTGAAAGTAGGGTCTCATCCGGCCTCCACCAGAGCCATGAAGGTTCAACATTTTAGCTATGTGTCATTTCTTCATTTGAACGTACAGCGTACAGCCAAGGTTTGTCAGCTCAGCCTAGGGCTCTCTGGTGATGTGACTGATCTTGACTTGACATATCTTGACGTTCTTGCCTGGTTAATTTTTAAAAGACTGCGGAACGCACTCATCCGACCTCAGGATGGGTAGAAGCCCCTTATCTTTGGGTTGGTCCTTGAGGAAAGGCCTTGCGATAGTGTCTCCAATAAGTCTAGAGATCTTTCTCCCAAGGAAACCATGTATCCTGCGCTCGCACTTCCCATCGTGTCCCATTTTCTCGGCCGGATGCACCTTGCGAGGTGTAGACTCAGCAAGGATGATTAAGAGATCTGAATCTAGAGATTGAGTCTTGTGCTTGCTCTGGCTGGCAGTCAAACTCGTGGCTCTTTGCGTTGCCAGTATCAACCTCGTGGGGCTGGGTGCAACCGCATGCAACCGCTGGAGTCAGCTCTTGGGGATGGAGAACTGAGCCGCATTGGCACCAAGCTCGCTGATGATCTGCTCCTCTGTGGCCCACGGTGGTCCGAAGAAGGCAGGTCGCGCAAAGGGAATCTGCAAACCGCACTTGAAAGAGGGCCGATACTGGCGAAGTCGCTGGGTTGCTGGTCCAGGTGTGGAAGGACGTCAGATCTTCAAACTTGTTGTTCTGTATTTGTATTGTGCAATTATCCTGCGTAGAAGGTATTTGGGGGGGGGAGGTCTGTTTCGATTCGTGCAGAGGTTTAATTGGTCTGTGCGAAACACGCCATGTGCTTCATGATCGGAAGACACTCAATGGGAACATGGAAGGACCTTCACGATTTGATTACCGAACACTAATCTGGTTCTGTGGTTACCTTCATGTGATTATATGTGATTATGTGAGACTCTTCTTCAGGCAGGTGCATATCGGAAGTTTGCGGACGCCAGGTAAATCGAAGTATTGATTGGGACTAACGGTGGGTCGTGTGGAAAATGAACGTCTTCATCAAGTACATCATCTAAATTCTGGATCAATCATGTAGCCCCCCGCATGGTTTCTTTGACAAACAAAGGTCGGCCCCATCGCTGACTAAGCTCATTAGACTAATTATATAGAGATTGGCCTTCTTGGCACGGCCGCTTCTTCGGTTATGAAGGAAGCTGGCCCCTCCCAAACAAGAGATCGACTGTCAGCTGTGTATGGGGTCTACTTGGATCAAGCCTGACCTGAAGAACTCCCACTTTTTTGCACAAGCTTCATGTAGAGTCGTCAGCCAGGCCTGAATGGCAAAAGGATGTTAGCGAGATTCAACAAGCTGGAATTTGAGATCTGTTTAACAGGTTCTTCAGATCTCTGGCTTGTGACGACATAGCGATCTGACATATTCGGTTAAAACATGTTCAAACCACCAAGCAAAAGAGAATTAGAAGAAAACACTGTACCTGAAGAAGCTGGTTTTGTAACTCTGGACACAAGTCCATATTCTCCATTGTCCTTGATTCGTCAGAAACCCTTCTCTGTGCTGACGGCAACAAGGCATGCAACACAAGGATACTGTAATACAACGCTTGGCACTTGGCATGCACAAAAGGTCGAGATATGCATATACATGCACCAGTGACGGCCCCTCGACGCTTCTTCACATGCTGTTTCGTGCCAAGGAGTCTTTTCCCGCAAAATAACTTGTTGGAATTCAATGTAATATAATGTAATGCATAGCATACTGATCCAGGAGGCACCTGTGGACTTGTGATCTCCATCTGAGAAGGCTCAGGGATGCAGCTTGCAGTGTGAACCCCTGTCCCCTCCTTGAGGTGCGGCATCTCCGAAATATCTACGCAAGCCCAGTAGGCACTGGCCGCATAGGGGAAGCAAGCCACATCGACCACAGAGATCTCTTGGCCCAAGATGAATGGACCTCCAGTTTGAAGTAGCTGCTCATCCTGAGGAGTCGGGCAGGAATCTGCAGAGCTGACCATGGCTCGACACATCACAACGAGCTGATCAGACTTGACTGGCCATGTACACAAGGAGACTGAAGGTTGAAGCATTCCAAACCAGGTGAGGAAATGGGCAAACTCACCAACCAGTTAAACTTCCATTGAGGAACATGATGGTACTTGGTGCGAAAGGCCCAAAACGTTGCCATGAGTCTTGCGAGGGATTGAGTCTCGACGAGTCTCGTGACGGGAACAGATCGGCGGATTGAGACGACGTCCGAAGACATGCCTGGTGAACCCACTGACCCGTGTGAACCACCGCGACCAGGGTCACATCCAGGTGGAAAACCGTCTGAAGACCTTTACACGTTTAAATCGAGCTAATCCAGGTGGCTTGGAACCAAGGCACGGATTCACCTTCAAAATTCAGGAAAGAAAATCTCTCCTGTCGCCATGGGTGAGAAAAAAGCCGATCAAGGTACCACACGTTTTTTCCCACCCAAGGTGCCAACATCTTCAGGCACCGCTGCGCCTCGTTCCCAAATCTGGCGATGGCAAAGTCGTCCCTCTGGCCCTTCGTGGCCGCGATCCGGTTGAAGTACATGCCTGCGACTGTCTATATGGACTCGAAAAATCTTCCAATCAAAAGAGCCTGTCGTTTCTTGGTATACCTGGGTTGAGTGTTGCTTCAGGATCCAACTGGTGTAAGCCTGATTGGTTCACTGTCGTGTGAAAGTAGATGGTAAAAGGAACCAGGGACGTCACGACATGCCTGGTCCGCTTGGACAATTGGAAAGGCTACATCTGCAGTACAAACACAAAGGTCTGCAGTACGTCCCCCGAAAAAATGGTCAGTAATGCTTCTAACTGTTCTTCTGAAGCTGTTGGAGACTGGGCCAGTTCGTCTTTCCTTCCAGGCGGGTTGTCCAGGCTCGGGACTCAACAAAACCCGGGCCGCTTGGTCCGAGACTGGGACGCAAAGAACCCGAGACTCACAGCGTGGGACGAGTCTAGAACCCGGCGAACTCTTGGAACTCGAAAGCGTGGCACGTGGATGACTGGTTCGTTTGGACTGGTTCGTTTGAAGCTTCGAGGCCATGCAAACGCACCAAAACATGCAAACGCAGGCCGTTTGAGCTGCAAGAGTTTTAGATCGCACTGCAGTAGACGACCGTTGGTAACGAAGTCAGTGGTGATGCATACATGGTCCGTAGTCATGGAAACAAGGCGATGTGTGTAATTATGTACTTAGTGTTGCTAGTTGCTGTGGCTTGTCCGGCACCCTTCAGCTTTTGAAGAACTGAAACCGGCGCACAGATCCGGTTCATCTGTTTACACGGATTTGTTTGTGTTGAACAACATATATTAGAAAACGACATCATCAGCGTCATCACCACAGCTTTGATTGCAGATCCATGGATGGTGGATGAGGTTCCACAGCATCCTGATTCCACTTTCTTTCAGTGCAACGGTACAACCAAACAAGAGGTCCACCGACAGGGGCTCGGCCCGCTGAAGGCGAGCGACATTTGTGTGGGGCCCGGGTCCAAGTTGAGTCAGTGAACATCAACAGTTCACCCCCCAGGCAACCCCAGCCCAACAAAAATCCAAAGATGAAACAACATGATGCAGGCCTCTATGGTGGGATGATTGACTCATCCCCGCACATGTCAGATGCTTTCCCAAGCAGGAAAACGTTGCACATGTAAATATATATAATACAAGATACACTATACATATATATATATATATATCCCTTAGCAACATAATTCCAGCCATTCCTGCGGTTTCCAACACTAGATAACAGCTATGGTGACTTGGTTCAGGGCGGAAGCCGGACAGCGATGTATGTCATCTCCCAAACACGGCTGTCCGTGTGTAATTACCGCTTTTGTCCTGTCTGTGGTTTCATGACACCACATGTTGTCATTTATCCAAAAATACAAGAACAAACCATTAAAAAAAAAACACAAAGTCTGATCAATGAAACCATAAAAGAAAAAAATAGAGCTTGATCATCTTTGATACAAAACCACAGATGTTGGATTCCGAAACTCGGCCAAGAAGCTTTGCCCAAGCATCGGCCCCTGCCCACTCACTTGCCTCACTTTCCCCAGCCCATCAACATCAGATATAGAGACCCCCATTAGTAAATACCAGTAGAAAGAATGGTAACAACAAATACAGTAAATAAACAAAGAACCCAAAGCAAAGCACTGCATGAAAAGCATTTCAGTTGCCAGTATAGCCACTGCTTGCATTGCAAGTGCCTCTGCAGATTTGTATCCTCAAACAGCTGCACACTTTCCAACTCACCCTGACTGATGACCAGCTTTCAGCTCTTCCCGCCAAACAAATACAAACTCAAAACAAGCTCTTGCGGGTCTCTTGGGACTAGCAAACAAACAAACAACAGTTCAATCAAATAGACTTGAGTATACTTGAGTTATCACTCAGACTCACCTGTTTCTGTACCTAGAATATATACAACCTTCCTGTACTGCATGTCGTATTCAGCTCGGTGTCTTTGGGTGGCAGCAAGGGACTCTTCAAAACTTCACAGAGATATTCCAGGATTGCTCCGGATTCCGCCACCGTGACACCTGCTTGCCGGTCGATGAGCGCAGGAATTCGCCCATTGGGATTGATCTTCAAGAACGCCTCAAATGCGAACAGTTCGAGAACGGATATATCGAGACACGGCAAGCTGGGAAAGCCAAGCTGGGTCAAGCTCTGTCTAGCTTGCCTAGGAAATGGCAATGAAGAAAGCGGCTGGTACCAGCGGGTACCAGTACCCTACGAAGAAACAAACGCAACTGGTTTGGGCTCGAGACAAATGTCTTCCTCTCAGACTCAAAAAAAATTGAGAAGCGCATCGCAAGGTTCAGGTACTTTCGACCACCAGCGTTGATTGACACTTTCAACCAAACACTTCGAGATTTGACCCCTCAAACGCCGCCTCAGACTTCTGTTCGTTCTTCTCGAAGTCCACCAAGCACCAGTCGTAGGGGCTTTGCATTTCTTCGAATAAGATGGGCAACTTCCAGCCGTTTTGAGTCGCGTAGATCAAACAGCAAAAACCTGAGGATTTCGTGCGAGAGGGGAGAACACACCTCTTCCATGGATGGAATGGAGAACACACATGAAGTCGCTCAAAACCTCCAACGATCTGCAAAGAAACGGCTAATGGTAATGAGTCACTAGTAAAAAATATATAGGGTGAACAAGGAACCCCTAAGAGCCTCGCCCCTTTTAGTCTTCACCCCTTCTACTTTGTAGTGAAGTAGTGATCGACCAAATTGGTGCTCTTTTGAAGAAGGATATCTTACACCGCTCGACTCTCAACCATTTCAAGTCCTTCCCTGGCAATATGTGCAGGGAAGTCTGCTGGGAATGCCACAAGAAACATCGATGAATCGATGATTCATCTTAGAACCAACAGTGTTAGGTTGCTCAAAGTCTTTCATCCGCTGGATAACTTCAACACGGATCCAGGCTAATTCAGTGTGGGGACGTGAGTGCGTGGAGGCCTTCCAAGCATCGCTAAAATCAATTTGCCTTGCCAAAGGAGAGCTCCCGATCACGCGTGGAAGGGACATGGCATCCTTGGATGTGCACCAGGACATGAGAAACTCTTGAATGTATGTCTAGTCTCTGGAATAAAGAACGAACATCTTTTCCAAATGTTTCCTGCGATAAATCAAAGAATTGCAATCAAGAACTCTTGTATAATCGTCTCAACATACAACGTCGTCCGACGCAAAATTTCACACCAGACAAATCCAACATACCGATCGTCGGCACAAGTAGCATCTCGTAGCTGAATCTCCACAGTCTTTCCAATTTATATACACTCCGACTCACCGGGCCACCCCCCCCAGACCCCCTAACTACTCACTTCGTTCGCCAAGCACAACTCAGCTGGCGCCTTCTACGAAGGCTGGCTTTCGTAACTAACATGGAAGTGGACAATGATGGTTCCTTGGAAGACGATGTTTCCTTTACGAACCGTATTTTTTTTTTCCACTTCGCATTTTGATGTGAGTCAGTCGGAGTGTATCTAGGGTTCCCTAGCCTAGTAGATATGCCCTACAATTGAATGGTTGCGCCTCGCTCGATCGACCTGTTTGCTTGCGGGCGGCAACAGGAATTTAGCACCAGAGTACAAGATAGTAATACTTGTATAATCGAATGCTGTGGGCTGAAATATCAAGTGGTGATAAACATGTGTCTGCCAAGATCAGTGATTGCGATTTGAGTCAATCAGGGTGGCATACTTGGTCTGAGTACAATGGCAACTGACTTGACCTTTTCACAACTACGCTTAGGAAACAAATCCACAGGTCGTCACGTGGAAGGACGGTTCTTTGCTTTTGTAGATGATCAATGGTGCAGTCATTCCGTGGCCAGGCGCACCCCTTCTTACATGTTTCCTCAAACCAAACATGGCTTGCAAGTGGAACAACACAATATCAGCCATCTCTTTAACACATGTGGATGAGGTTCCCCAACAGGTTTGCGCGTCTGGATTCCTTTGTTTGGTAGTTGCTTCCACACACTCCTCTGCTCCTTTTTGCTATCTTTGTTCGGTGTTTGGGCTTCTGGCCGGCGGCATTGCAACTGTCTAACTGTCCAACATCTATCCACAGCTTCATACTGAAAACAGTGTGTGTCAAGGAGGTCCAGCAAGACCGGGGTTCGAACCTGTCCTGGTTTCCAAACGCGCATATATATATATATATATGTATATAATAGCTATAGATGTAAATCGGGATGGAATTTTGGACAACCTCCAAGGTTCCTATCCACGGGATGCCTATTGGTGTCCATTCTCTCAGGCAACATGTCATCATGGGACCCCTGGGACATTCCCAGACCAGGAGCCCTCAGGTGCGTTACCAGCCAGGGCTCTAAGGAACCCGTCAAGGCTATAGCAAAGAGAAGGCTGCAAAGACACCAAATGTGAGCCATAACGCCAGAACGGTCTGAACCCAAACAATGGCCAAACATGGCAAAACTCTCTTGCGACACATTCATGATTCCAGCATTAGTCCCTCAAAGTAGCCGTGACCAACGGGTTCCGGGTTCTCCCTTGTCCCCATCACAAAAGCTGTCAGTGGGTGCAAAACTAGTGAGGAAAGTGGGCCACATGAGCAACAAATGCAAGTGACCAATGACGCAACTAGCAGTTTCCAGAAAAGACAAGTAAAAAAACGCCCTTGGTGAATCCAAGTTGCATTGGCCTTTCAGCACTTGTTTGTATCTAGTTGCTGAGACGAGCAACATATATAAAGCCAAATACTTCAATTTTGAACTGCCTCTATGGAACCCATTACCTCTATCATGCAGGAGGAAGGCTTCGGCCAGGATGCAAAGCCTGGCAAGTGAAGGTATTGTTGCATCTCTGCTCAAAATCCAAAGGCCGTAAAAAGTTTTCTGAATGATTCAGAAATGAGGTCAACCGCGCCCCTTGCTCCCACGTATATTGGAAAAGGAACAGAATTATCCTACTCAATCAAGGCATCTGCACCATCTGAGTTGGAGGATACCGGGATACTCCATTCTTTGCGGTGTAATCTTGTGTAATTAAGGTTTAGCTGCGTTTTGGACTCTGTCCATCAACAGTCTTCATGTTCTTTTTCCAAGGTGGTTTCCTCGCGTTTGCCATCTTTCAGCATTCCGGAGGCTAAGAATCTTATGATTGCCAAACCAAAAACACTGTGAGACGCCTGGGGCCTTTGCCACTCCTCTGGCCTTATCATCAACCAACGCCCTCGTTTCCGTCGCACGAAGACTGAGGCCCTCTGCGGCTTGAAGTTGATGGAGTCGAGCATCCACACATTCGGCGGGGCTCACCTCATCAGCGACAGTCAGCGACATCGCATGCGTGGTGTACACCGATCCGATAGCCCGGATAGCCCGCCAATCCAAAGCCCAAACCGCTGCAGGTCTTGGCAAAGACCCAAATCCATCCAAATCCATCCAAATCCAAATATTTGGCACGGAACCAATCCTTGCTTAGGGTGCAACTTTTCAACAGAGTAAACCACCTTCGAACGACTGGGTTTTGGTGCGACCCGTGTCTAACTGTCGTTGCGATCTTTTCGTGTGACCCATCCAACATTCTTCTACGAACGTGACCTCGGTTCTATAGTAATTTACAACCCTCAACCCAAAGAAGTAGCTTTGCATAACAATTACGTACTTCTGGCAAACACCCAAATGACTTGGCTTTATATGCCTTGGACCTTCACATTAGGTTGTTGACCCACAAACCCATTACACAAGAGGGCAAAAGGCCTGTGAAGGGAGTAGCAGTACTTGCTGCTTGTTGTCGCTTCATGAAGGAACAAAGGCCCTTTTGAATACTAGGAGCAAGGACGCTAGTAGGTGGAGGCCATCGCTACTAGGAGCAAGAAGCTACGAACGTAGCTAGAAGCTTCGTTGGGAATGGCTTCACCTGTAGTAACAAGAAGCTATATCGGCATGGAACCACGCTCCATCAGAGCTTGGTGCCCCGAACAGGATTGGAGCTTCTTGCAATGCAGGAGGCCGCAATGGCGTAGAGCAAAAGCAAATGAACCTCAGAAACAGTTGGCCAAACAAAACAACTACTGCAAATTTGAACATTGTTCAAAAGAAAACTAAACCCTCGTTCGGAGTGTGTTCATGTGTCGCAAGGATGTGTTCATGCAAGTTCTTGCGTTTTGCTTACGTGACATTTCATTTTATATTCGTCATGTAGGGGGTTCAAGTGCATATATTCTAGGCTTACGCAAACAATAAGGACAAACTTTTTGTACCACACCGCAACATGAGCTTTCTCCTTTCATTCGTCTCTGCTGCAAACACATGTTAACACGTGGTCAAGCAAAGCTTACGCACTTTGCTGACGCTGGTGGTTCAACCATCAAATGTTTACGGAAAGCAAAAAAACATCGTTTCCAGGTGGCAAGCATCCCTATGATGCCACGGAGCTTCATTCAGAAGTCTCTCAGTCCATCAGTCTAACTGTGGTGGAGGCACGTTGAGACGAGAATGCCATGGGAGTAAGAACGGTCACCACTGGAGTCATCACAGAAGATTCCATAATATGTACGACATGTTGAATCACCATCAGGAAATATGAGACATTTCATACCAAATCTCATTGGTTCTCAGATGTTCTCAGTATTTGTTCTAGGATGAACCAGTCAGTTTATATTCTTTGGTATATGTTGGCCACCAAACATTACGTGGCTGGTCCTGATGCTGACTATTATCTTTGTGTCTGGCTTGCGTTCCAACAACAATCACCGTCCCTAGATCTGCAAACAGCTTTGCATCCCCCACATGGTTTTTACACTCTTTTTCTCTGCGCCTTTCCGTACGCGCTTCGCACCAGCCAGTCCTCCGTCGCACCTTCCGAACCCTTCCGCAATCCTCTTGAACAACGGGACTTTTTTTTCGGCGGAGCTGAACAAGTGCCACGCTAGTAGTAGCAGGTGCCTTACTAGTAGTAACAAGAAGCTATTAATTTACATCTAAATTCAATTCTAATGGCTTCTTGTTACTACTAGTAAGGTACCTGTTACTACTAGCCTGGCACTTGTCACAACGGGACGTTTTTTTCGGGACGAATCAGTTCGGCGGAGCTGAACGAAACAAGCGCTGCCCAGGTGGCATAGAAGACCCAAAACCACCGGTCTCTCCTGGCGGAAGTAAAGAGCGCAGGAGTCGTCCCGTCTGTTCGGCGATTCTAGAGAAGACATTTGGATAATATGATATGCCATTGATTGCCATTGTATCTCTCTATAACAGTTGAATATCATTGAATATCTAGTATTAGTAAATTGAGGTTGAAGATACCCAAATCATATCCAAGCCCAGCTAGAATAGAATAAATAGCTATAGGTTACCCACTACATCTAGAATAGCTATACAAACCACTCACTATAGTAATACTATCCACAAAAACTGCAGCAAACAACACGAACTCACCCACACCCCTGTGCTGTTGACTTAAGCTCAAGCTCTTGG